GGAAATGTCAAGTAGCATTTTACTTTCAGGCAGAAGGATCTTTTCAATTTAGAAATACAGCATGACCGATCCTGTACAATCATAGAATGAAGGGCATGGAAAGACTTTACACAGGTTAAATTGACCCCAACCACCCACCCAACTCAATTTTACAGATGAGGAAATCAAGTTATCTCAGGGTAACACAGATAGATCATTGTTTCTCTTTACCTCACACTGCTAGAAGACCAAAGGCAAGTGCCACAGATTCTTGTTTAACAGTATTTCACCCAATACACTAATTTCCCATTCTTCATGACAAACTCAGTTATCCTTTTTAAATTTTCTTTTCAGCCTTTCCTTAGATTCAAAAATTGGCAATTTGAACTGGTTGCTTCTTTCACAGCTACTTTACTTCTTTCTATCTCATTTTATTTCATTTCCTGTTGTTCCTTGACACTTTTTGTATTAGAAAAATTCATGCTGAAATGTAAGTTTTTAAATCACAGATTTCTTCTGAAACTGGAGCTTTGTTCTCTACCAAATTAAATAGGAATACAGCAGAGTGATCTTCTCATTTTAAAAAATTAATGCTGAAATGTAGGTTTTTAAATCACAGATTTCTTCTAAAACTGGAGCTTTGTTCTCTACCAAATTAAATAGGAATACAGCAGAGTGATCTTCTCATTTTGCCTATAAGTTTCTGTAGGCTTTGGCACATTTCCAGGGTTGAGAAGCAAAGTTATTTTTGTTGTACAGTATTTTTTAAAATGACAAATAATACATCAAAAACTATTTGTGATCTTTAAAATTTCTGCTTTTATCTAATTGAGATGACTGGATTGAAAGATTTTGTAATAATCAGATAGTACAGAATAATATTTACGAATTATTGAACTAATTGAAAGAAAATGGTTAAAAATGTATCCTTAGAATTGATTTGTCAAGTACATCCCTCACTTCTCCCAGGAATGTGGCCAGGAATCCTCCATGGAAAACATACAAGTTTAATAATGCTGTCAGCTGTAAAATGTCCTTTGTGCTTTCTATCTAATACCAAAAAGATTATAGACCATTTTCTCCTTAGGAAAATATTGTTCTGAAGAATGTGCCTTTTTACTTAATCAGATTAGTAGATTCAAGGAGAGAATCACTTTAACTCTTGTCCTTACGCAAATATATAAAAGAAAAGTAAATGTGTGAAAGAATTTAGAGAGACTGAAGAGGAAAAAGCACATTTGGTATGTGTATGCAGATAGGGGTCAGTTTAGACAGAAGGGGAAATAGTAAGAAAGATGGAAAAAGAAAAAGAAAGAAAAAAATGAAGGAAAAAAATAAATGATTTAAAGCTATGATCTCATCTTAACACCTAATGTTCTCTTCCCAGGTTAAAAATTTTTGCATATATTATCTTCTGGCTTATACATAAATATCTAGTTTCCATAGTGCTTAAAATATTTTATAATATTATTTGTGAGAAGTAGGTAGGTGATAAAGAGTTTCTTTAATTTACGTCTTGGGAAGATGAAGATGAATATAGAATTTAAGAGACTAATAGAAAGTCCTAATGTTAACAATTAATATGGAGAAGTAGATTTTTCCTTTTCTTAGATTCTGAAAAAATTATACTACCATTAGAAAATGAAAAAAAAAAAAAAAAACCCAAAAAAACCAACAAAAAAGAAGAAAATAAGTGAAGGGATAAAATAGGAAACAAAAAACATAGTACACATGCATTCGTTTTAATTTATAGCAATATTTAGTTTCTGGACTCACACAAAATTATTCTAATCTAGAAGAATTATAGCTAAGATGAATAATTTAGACAATACAACCTTAGAATTTCTTTATTACAAAAGTAATACATGCTCATTATGGGAAAATTTGGAAGTACAAATAAGCAAGAAGAAAAAGATGAAAAGAAATCACCTGTAGCAAAACCGCTGCTAACATTTAGGTATTTCACGTTCCAGACCTTGTTCCTGGCAGACTTACAACAATAAACACATGAACATTGTATAAAAATGGGGGCATATTAGATTAGATTTTGGAATGCAAAAAGGGCATTAGTGAAAAATACTGGTGAATCCAAATAAAGTCTGCAATTTAGTTAATAGAAAAAAAATGGGGCTTAGTAAGAACAGTTTATCATCTGTCTTATCACTCAACACTTATATGTGGTATAAAACACTTGAATCCTTCAAGTGAGAATGGCGATTCACATTGGCTGTCTTCCTCCCCATAACCCACTATTCCAGTCTAACCATGAGAAAATATCAGACAAACCCAAATTGAGGGACATTCTACAAAAAAATCTAACAAGTATTTTTCAGAACTATCAAGGTCATGATAAACTGTCATGAGCAAGAGAAGGCTAAAGAATCAGACAGCTAAATACAATGTTGACATTACCGAGTGGAGTAAAAGGAAGGAGGGAAATGAACATTTACTGAGCACTAGTCTTTGTTAGGCATCGCACTGAATTTTCATTCATTGTATCTCCTTTAAAACCACAGCAAGAATCCATTATATAGAGGGGGAAATTGAGGCTGAGAGTATAGGAAGCATCTCAAAGTCCTCACAGCTATGAAATATGTAGCGGAATAAACATTAGGGGGTGGGAGAGTGGTAATAATGAAGGGCTTTAAAGGATACAAGGAAGGGAGGTGGAAGGAGACGGCAGCTCAAGATCTCCACAGCTCTTCACGATTTGCGGAAGAGGGGCATATTTGCTGGCGTGGTGATCTCAAGATACTAACAATTTTTGGCAACACAACTTGTAGCTGTTAAGGTTAAAGTCTATGACAGTGAATGCTAAATGTGTTTGAGATCATTTCTATTTCTGGCAGAATAATATACACCTACATCATTATTATACTCCCTATGTTTTATTGATAACAAATCTTTTCTGTGGATTTAAATTAATCTAAAGTGTTTTTTTAAATAGATTTTTATGACAAGGCTTAAAAATATGGAATTTTTTTTTCATTTGTATACCATAAATGAAGATGCATTTCTAACATTGGATAAATAAGCTTTGACATATAACAATGATGCTTACTTCTCATTAACCATATACTTACACACAGGGCAAGGATAGTGTGTATGTGTTTCTGTGAAATTTTATTCTGCACAGTTTTTTTTCACCAGACCTTCCAGTTGTTATGGAGACAGTTTCCTTGTTTAACTAAACTCTTGGGCTCTCTGGCTTTCACCCGTTTATATCATCATCTGGCTAGCAGGCATTTCATTCAAAGATATGGCTTAATTAGTATAAGCAAATGTCGCTACTTAGGTAAAGAGGAATAGAATTTTTTTTTTTTTTTTTTTTTGCCTAAGTAAGATATGGACTTATAGCCAGAAAGTATCTGTTTATCCTTGTGGTTAGTATTTTATTTTATCACAAATTATTTTCTTCCAGCGTCCGACCATCAGAAGACATAAATTTAGATATGAAATATAAGAAAAGAAATACCTGTAAGAAAAAAACACATAAACTTTACAGTGGTGAAGTTATAGAAAAATCATCCAGTAAGTAATCACTGTTGATATATTTTTATAGTGGTATTATCTTATAGATTAGCATGAATAAGACAAATAGCTTCTCAGTGTGCCAGGAATGCTTGCTTTCTCTAATAAACATGAATGTAGGTCCTGTGATCTCCATTTAACAAAGGAGAAAAGTGAGGCTCAGGAACCTCAAGCGACTTGTCCAAGGCCGCACAGCATCCAAGTGGCAGACGTGTGAGGTCTAAATCAGAAAACGTGCGGAGTGCCTACTGTGGTTCCCAAAACAGAGATGGCACCACAATGTTAATTCTTTTCCTTAAGTGCTTAAGAAATGAAGATGAATAAAGACTTCTTTTGCTCTCAGGAATCCCAAAGCCACACAGAACAGTGCACTAGTTTAATTTTTGGATGACCAGAAAATAATTATTTAAAAAAGTAGTTAAAACAAATAAATCTTTATTATTCTGAAGCATATTATAGGTGAGAATCATTCAGCTCCATCATATAATGAGAATATGTTACTCACTACAAATATTTTTTCAACTTATATCCAAGGTGATGCTTCACTTTCATAGAGCAGACATGTTGATTTTAGAATTTCTGGTGAACTTTGTTGTCAAAATGTACATAATTATTTGTTAACATTCAATGTCCATTTATAAATTAATCTACTCCTATATTGCTAGGGCTAGGGCTCACAGACCCTACAAACTTGTTGCACAGACTGGGTGACTAGAGCCCTCGCATGCAGGTCCATGCTAGGTAGTTGGGAAAGATCCCGGGAGACATTGGCAGATCACATGAGCTCAGTCCTCAGCAGCAGCAGCAGCAGCAGAAGCAGCAGCAGAGGTGGCTTCTCAGGGTATCCGGGGGACCCTGGCAGCAACAGCCTCCTGCAGCAGATGCAGCCTCTCGACTAGAGCCCTCGCATGCAGGTCCATGCTAGGTAGTTGGGAAAGATCCCGTTAGACATTGGCAGATCACATGAGCTCAGTCCTCAGCAGCAGCAGCAGCAGCAGAAGCAGCAGCAGAGGTAGCTTCTCAGGGTATCCGGGGGACCCTGGCAGCAACAGCCTCCTGCAGCAGATGCAGCCTCTCTGTGGTCCCCCCGGGGGCATCCTGGGAGCGGGGGAGCACTGTGGATCAGAGCCACTTGTCCTTTATACTTAAGTCCATAACCCAGGACAACTGGGTGCACATGAGCAATTACGTTAGACAATAGCCAAGGAACACCTGGGCGCACGTGCATATTTACATCAAATGCTTGGCAAGATTCTGAACATCTGAGGGGCCCTGACCATTTATTTTTCATTTTCCCTACAACTTCATAGAGTTTTTGTCAGGATTACATGAAATAATCTATGTAAGGAACTTTGACCAGTGCCTGGCATATTATAGAAACAATACAATTTTATTAGTAATGTTATTGTTACTCTTACTTACTGTTATACCTTGGTTCACTACCTTTGGAGTTAAACATACTTGAACTTAAGTTCACTGTCTACCGTTTACCTATGTAACTTTAGTTACGGAAACTCAGGCAAGTTATTAAAGTATCTTGAGCCTAAATATCCTCATCTGTCTTAAGGGCATACTGATACCTTACAAGTTGTGAAGATTTCTTCTTTAACTTGACATAGCACATTGGTTCTCAGAGAGTGGTGCCTGGCCTAGCACCATCAGTATCAACTGGAACTTAACAGAAATGTAACTTCTGGGACCCTCATCCCCACCCTTCCCCTATTAAATGAGAAGCCAGGGATAGTACATAGCAGTCTATAGTTTGATAAACCCTCCAGATGATTCTGATGCCTGCTGAAGTTTGAGAACCACTAAAAGCAGAGGACTTGTTCTATAGCAGGTGTAGGAGATGGATTAGTTTTCTTTTCCTAGGTACTGAGCTACCATAATTTCAAAAGCACAGTTCCTACCTTCACAAAACTAACAATCAAACAAACATAAAATCGTATCTTGATTAAATGTTGTAGATTTCTGTTCCATTATCCACTTTTCACATAGAACAAAAAGAAAACTTTTCACTTTGTCCAAGACTTTGCTTTTAAGGGTATGATTAAAATAGATTACCATCCTCTCATTGTATGCATAATAAATACAATAACACAACTCTGGTTTACATTACAATGGAATGAAAAAGTACCTGCAAATTCAAAATTTTGGATGTTTTGTTAAGTATTGAAAAAAAATAGATTCCATTTCACAAAAGATACAATTTTCTTGTAGATAAAAGAGAAACTGGAGCTTTTCCAAAACTACGGAATATTCATTTTCAAGGGAAAATGGCAAAAAATGCAAAATACAAAATAAATGAATGGGAAGCCTTGAGTTCCTCTTGGTCTCTTTGAATAAAAAGGACCATGGATTTATTTTGAACAGCTGTGTTTATAGGGTTTGCTGATCACTGCAGCTGTACCAGCTGAGTAACAGGAAGGTTAAATACAAAAAAGTTAACTTGGAAATGTGCTAGCTTCTTCCAAAGAATTACCAATATTGTACTTTTTTTCCTATCCTCCCCCAAAACCTGCTGTTGTGAAAGGTGCATTTAGGTCATTAAGCATCAGCCGTTATAGGGTTTGCTGATCACTGCAGCTGTACCAGCTGAGTAACAGGAAGGTTAAATACAAAAAAAGTTAACTTGGAAATGTGCTAGCTTCTTCCAAAGAATTACCAATATTGTACTTTTATTCCTATCCTCCCCCAAAACCTGCTGTTGTGAAAGGTGCATTTAGGTCATTAAGCATCAGCCCCCTGAAAGAGGTGCCTGAAGTGAATAAACCTACTTTTTTTCTAGACCCTGAGAAATACTTTAAGGAAGAGCCGGGGGAGGAGTATCCTCAAATTCCAGAGCATCCATTGCTTTCTGAAAGTAAGTCCTCAGCCATCATACACCTCCATTACCTCTCTCCACAGAACTCAATCAATTAAAAAAATAAAGCAGAAAAGCATGAAAAGAACACGTGTTTGCCGTAGGTTGCAGTGAAATGAAGTGTAGTTTGACTTGAGATTTATAGCTCAGCTGCTGATCTGTACTCTCAGGAAGGAAAGCCAACAAGCTGGAATACATAAAAGAAATATCTTTGTTTTGTCACTTTTCTGAAGTCAGAATGTCATGAACATGTATCATGAATCTGCGATGGATGAGAACTTGCTCCCCAAATAACCTTAATTTTCCAAACTGATACCAGACAAAGAGCCATCCTAATACTGCTTTAGAACAGTCTCCGGCAGTCTGGCTTTGTTCTTTTCATGTGAAACACTATAAATAGAGGCCACTTAAAGTGCATTGTCTTAGAAGCTTCCAGCTGCAATGCTAGGCTAGCATGATGAGAGGACAAGAAAGCTTAACTTAGAAAATATAAGTGAGTGATCTCTGAAGATTTGTAAACAAGATGTGCAAAAGAATACTGTTTTTCAGACTATTCTATTCTTCTGAGTTTCTAAGAATTTGAAGAATGATTTCTGTACAGAAATCCTTCCCACAAAGAGGGGCCCTGTGGAAGCACTCAGAAAGCATATGGACACTGCAGGGCAGCTCATTTAAAATAATTAATGAAAAGTGCAAGTTTTCAGCTTGTAACAGTCAAAAGATCAGAGCTACCCTCAGACCATCTGAGATCTGTGGTTTCTAAACTTTTCAGATCCTCCGAGATGGGGTTCAACATCATCCTCGAGAAATAATAACCTTTGGAGTAGGAAAGCATTTCCTTATGTCCACACTCGTGGAAGTGAAAGCCTCTTTTCTTGGCTTAGTCCCCTATGGAAAGGGAGAACAGCTGGTCAGCATCGTTTTTTGAAATTCCACTTATAAGCAAGGTGCAGCTGTCATTCCTCATTGCCCTAGTTTCCGGTCTAATTATTATCAGCTTCCTTTATCTTTTCTTAGGTTTTCTCTTTGCTAAATTTATAGTCATTTGCTTTCTCTTGTGAGAGTCATCTATGTTTTCTGCTCATTTCTCTTAAAAGCATCGTAGGGGAGTTTGAAACTTTCCCCCCACATTTCTGAGGTTTGATAATTTAGTCTGAAATAGACAGCAGATTAACAGGAGAAAAGATATACACATCTGTTAGATGCATGGGGGCATCCCAGGAAGGTGGGTACTCAATAACCCAATGGAATTTAGAAGCTACATATCCTTCTTGTAGGGGAGAGGGACGTGGGAACTGTAGGCACCTTTAGAGAAAGAGTAAATGATTTTTAGGGGAGATGAATGGCCCTGAAGAACAGACAATAGTGTGGGACAAAGTCCATCTGGGCTCTGGGTCTGGTGTCAACCCTAGTCTTCTTTCCAGTGAGATGCCTCAGTCTCTCTCCTGTTGATGAGACGTCTGGGGAAGGGATTCACACAACTGAATATCTTCTGGAGGACCAGGTCTTTGTGGTAGATAGAGAAACTTCAGAGAAAGCTCTCCCACGCAGTTGCTGCTCCTCAGGTGCTCTCAGTTCAAAGTCCAAAGTGGTATATCTTGGGGCATCATTTTCTGAGCCCCAATAACATGAATCCATAAGCTTTAGGGCTCTAAATAGCCTCTAGTGTATCTGATAGGACTTTCAATTGATCATCCTATAATCTTCACCAGGATGATTCACCTTTAAAAATGAATATGGGGAATACTTATCTTGTCCTAGTGGGCCACAGACAGAAGAGAATCTGAGTAATAAACATTAAAAAAAAAAAGATCCAGACAGCCAGGAAAAAGTTGTAAGGATAGTCTACACACAGGACACGACCATGGTAGGAAACCATGGAGCAAGGAGTCAGACTTGAGGCAAGATAAATGGGTGACAGGGAGTGTGCAGAAGCTGGAGAGCAAGAGGAAGGAGATAGACAGGTATCCAGTGAGAGCAGTGAACACCTCTCTTAGCTGAGAGAGCCTCTGCTCATCAGGGGAGCCATTCACGTTGTGAAGCAGGAGGAAGACACAGACAGATGAATTCTCCTTATGGGGATGGGGGTGATGGCTGGGTGAAAATACCTAAAATACCTCCAAGGCTAATACATTTTCAAGGAGAATTGTTTTCCTGGATTACCTCATGTTAAATGTCCTTGTAATTTCCCCACAATTTAAAAAAAAATGCTTTTTTGTGTTTTTAAAATTTTCTTTCTTCAGCTTTTCTTCCTTTGCTTTCTCCCCTTAAAAAAAAAATATTTCCAGCCACCTGCCTTCTCTGCAAGTGAAAATAGTTTCATCTTTTAAAAATGCTTTTTTGTGTTTTTAAAATTTTCTTTCTTCAGCTTTTCTTCCTTTGCTTTCTCCCCTTTAAAAAAAAATATTTCCAGCCACCTGCCTTCTCTGCAAGTGAAAATAGTTTCATCTTTTAAAATTTTCACCACCTGGTGAGAGAGACAGATGCAAACCATTGATGACAACGGAATATGTGACATATGACACCACAGATGAGATTCTGTGAATGCACCGAGGAAGAAGTCAGATTCATTCTTGCTGGGGCGGAGGGAGGAATTTGGAGAGAGAATTACACCGGAGCTGGGATGAAAGGATGTGCAGGAGGTCAAAGGGTGAGGGAGGAGGCAAGAAGTCAAAACCAAGGAAATAATGTGAGGAAAGACACATCAGAAATGAAGAAGCAGCAGACGTCAAAATGAATCCAAGTTGGCTGCAATAGGTGACTTCAGATGTTGAGACATTAATTGAATTCGACACACATGAGTAGAAGAATAATGAAATGAACTGAGTTTGGAATGTGTTGAGTTTGAGGTACAGGTGAGCCATTTAGAAATAAAGGTCTGGAGGATGGGAGCAGATTGTAACATGCTTGGCATAATATCACAAAGTCTTCGACCAGCAGATACTGAAATAACATTTGCTCGTTTATGTATTTACGCTTCCCTAAGGTAGATTTTGAATGTGCTAGTATCTGTACTGGGTTTTAGAGACACAGAGATAACAAGTAGAGAACCAGCCTTCAAAGATCTTGAAGTCCAGTTGGGAAAACAGATATGTAAACAAATAATTATGTTGTACAACAAGGGCTGTGATAAGAACAGCACTGGGTATGATGGGAGCATACAGAAATTCAGAGGTGGTTTTCAGCAAAAACAGATTATGCTTGAGCTAAATATTAAGAGTTAAATTGCTATTAGCCAGGTAAGAAAATAAGGGGATGCTATTTCTAATAAAGGAACAGCATATGTCAGTATAGGGTGGTATGAGTGACATGGTGTGCTAACAGAGCTGCATGCAGCTCCTGGTGGCTGTGTTCTAGGAGGGTCATGATGAAAATTACGCTCCATATGTAGATGGGGACAAGACCATGGAGCACCTAGTGCACTATACTAAGGATCTTGGCATTTATTTTATCAGAAATGGGGAGCCATTGAAATGTTTCAGCCAATTATTCTGAGTTATTCCATTGTATCTCCTCTATTGCTTGTTCAGTTTTTATATCTCTTTGTATTATTCTTTTAGCAATTGCCCTAGAGGTTATACTAGTCTTTTCTGAAATTTTTATTCTTTCTTGTGGTACTTGGCTTTTATCTGAGATAATTTTCCTTCAGTCTAAAGAACTTGCTGTAGTGTATCTTAAAGTATGGGTCTGCTGGCAAATCATTTTCCCAGCTTTTAGGTATCTGAAAAATGTGTTTATTTCATTTTGCCTTTGGAAGGGTATTTTCAATGGGTTTAAAACTCTAGATGACAGGTTTCTTTTTTTTTCCCCTCCAACTCTTTAAAAATAGCATGTTTCCTTGCTTCCATACTCCCCGTTTAAAATTCTGTTCTTAATATTATTGATGCTTCTTATTCTGGCTGATTTTTAAAGTCTTTTTATTCTTGGTTTTCAGAAGTTTTACTGTGATGAGTCTAACTACAGTTTTCTGTGTATTTGTACTGCTTGAGGTTCATAGAAATTCTTGAATGCATCCTTCTTCAATTTTGGAAAATTCTCCGCCATTATCTTTTTCAAATATTGTTTCTTTCCTATTTCCACTCTCACCTGCTCTTTTGGAACTGCAATTACATATATTTTAGTCTGGTTAATTCTGTCACAAATGACTCCTATGCTCTTCTCTTCTTTGCATTTTATTTTCCTCCCTGGGCTTCATTTGGATATTTTATATTGACTTGACTTTGAGTTCACTAATCCTGCCTTTTGCCAGTCTGCTTTTAAATCCATCTAATCAGTCCCCATTTTTGGATTATACAAGGGTACTTCAAAAAGTTCATGGAAAAATGAAATTAAAAGATGATATGAATCTTATATGAACTTTTTGAAGATCCCTTGTATCTATTTCTGAAATTATTTGCATATATACTTTCAGTTCTAGAATGCCACTTGAGTCTCTTTTGTGCAGATTCTAGTTCTCAGTGGAAGTTACTCATGTTTTCATCCATTTTGTCCATCTTTTCATACATGTTCTTAACATGTTTATAATAGTAATTTTATTTATTTATTTTTGGTGGCTGGCCAGTTTGGGAATATGAACTTGTGACCTGGGTGTTACAAGGCTATCCACTAACCAAATGAGCTAATCAGCCAGCCCTATAATAATAATTTTAAAGTCCTAATTTTCTAATACCAATATCTGCATGATTCTTGGATCTGCTTCTAACATCTGTTTTTTTCCTGTTGGTTATTGGTCACATTTTACTGCTTCTTGGTAAGTCCTGTAACTTTTTTATTGTATGATAGGAAGTATAAAAGATCTATAGATACTGAAATTAACTTTATTTTTTTCCCCAGAGACAGTTCACTCTTTCTCTAGTTTGGCAGAGAGGGTTAGGGGTTGATCACCTTAATCCAATTAGTTATTGAGCTGAGTCAGTGCTGAGGTACTGCTTTAGTCAGGCTTCATTTGCTTCTGATTTCAGACGTCTATTTAAGGCCTCTCCCTCTAGTGGGATATGGTC